ATATATTTAAATATATTTAAAAAGTCAGAGGAGATAAAAAAAACAATAATAATAACAAAAGCATATTAAACTTTCATTAATACGAGCATAATTGTAATTGATAAGGCTGAAATGTTCCTTTGAAAAAATGTAAAGAATTCATGGAATTATTTAAATCAGTGTGTTAATTTTGAAAAGAAAAAAAAACCGACAAAAGATATACAGGAAAGAAACGAGATTATTTATATGAATTCTACATTAATCGCAAAATGTTTATTGATATTTAATATATATAATTATTAAACATTCATATACAATGTCTCGATAGTTCCAAAAGAAAACTATTGTAGTCAGCTTATTTATCGGTTTACAGTTTTTTCTATCAAGAATAATAGCTTTAAAGTACAATATTATTATTATTATATTATAAGTTAAATAAACACTGAAGCGCAGTGAATTCCATCTGGATTCATGCGATATTTTCTGTACAGATGTACAGGAATATAATATGCATTCCATGAGTTAATAATATTAATAAAAATATTAATAGTAATAATAATAATAATAATAATAATAATAATAATAATAATAATAATAATAATAANTAATAATAATAATAATAATAATAATAATAATAATAAAAATAATAATAATAATAATAATAATAATAATAATAATAATAATAACAATAATCAATAGGAAGCAATAATTTGCTGCAAAGTGAATGTGTAGTATTGTGAGCTTTACAAAATTCTGTGTCTGAGATAAAAAAGAAAAGAAATATAAAAACATATTATAAACAGTGCAAACCAATACTGTTACTGTCAAAAAAAAATAATTTTTCCTCTTTAAGTTGAAAAATTGAAAAGGGGCAAATTATGATATAAATATATCGATAATAAATTAATTGCAAAACATGCTTCAAAGGAAATACCCTTTAAAAAACAATTAAAAGCTATGCATAAGTGACATACATATATATATTTGACATAAAAACAATTAATTTATCAAAGAAGCTATTCCTCTGGATCTTTATGTTAAAATACTAGAACAAATATGAATAAATATGATTCCAACGCGAGGCAGAGGTTTTAATAATGCCAAAAATTAATCTGTAAGTTTAACAACTTCGATGTTTAGCGAATATTTTATTTGTGAATAAGCTGCTGCATTGTACATCATCATGTAAATATAAATGCAATGCAATATATGTATAAATAAATATCTGAATATATTAATATTTCATTCAAATGTATTGACAAAATGATACACTTATGCATGTTGATTATCTCCTATTCTCTGAATGATTTTATTATTTATTTGGTTTATATCTTTAATTTAAATAAGATTTAACAAAGTTAAAATTTTGCGTTAAAAATATATGTAAAATGTCATAAATAAAATAAACCGAACACATAACTTGTTATATTAAAAATATAATAGTATGCATGACATAAAGAATTCTATGCATATATATTACTTTTTAAGAAAATTTACTCATATGTAACGATTAGAGTTAATTTTATAATCTTAGTTATGAACGACTTACCTAAAACACCGTACTGCTGCGGAGTTAATCTTACATCACCCTCAGCACCTTCTGGCAAAGGAGAGATTAGTGATGCTCGTTCACTAATGTGACTCCTACTACTTGCTTCGCTTCTTCTAGCCCATGATGCTTGAGATAGCGCATCTATGACAACAAAATATATACAGTATTTAATTTAGAAGTATGTTGCAATGACAAGAAAAACCGATGTGCTTCAAATTTTATACACAATATCATAAAATGTAAATCTATTCTTCATCGGATAAAGAGCTTAATTACATTAAATCTAGATTGTAAATTAGAACTAAATAGATTATATAAAGCTTTATTATGAAGATGTAAATATTACCAAAATTGGATTTAGCATTGGCATATCTTTGTTTTAGATCCCTTATGGATCTTTTCGAAGGAGGCAGTGGATGTCTTCGTCTTCTTTTTAAAAATTGTGCCAAACCACCGAGCAACAACGAACCTCCAGTCAAACAAATGATGAAAATCTATAAAAATATATAAAAAAGTTTACTGTCATAAAATTTCATAACTTAACCTATACTTAATTATTATTTTCAAATATAAAACACTAAAGATTATTAACACATTAACATTATTATATAATGTTCTAGGTTTCCAATATACAATCATTCTAACCTATAAAAAAAAGATATCAACTAACCTTTTGGTTTCTAGATAAGTGAAACGCCGGCAAAGAAAATATACAACGTGCGTATAATGACCCCAAAATTTGTCGCGCATTAAAATTAAACATCGTCAACGTGGTTGTATATAAATAATATCATTCACTTCTAATACATACAAAAAATTAATGCAACTCAAAATGCACTCACTCAATGTGTACGCCGTATACTACTGAAGATCACGATACCTAAAGTTATAGATGGCAATAGTTACGTTTCGTTGCTAGACATGCGCCGTCTGACAAAATAAACAAAAATTTTTAAACATAAGCTGTAATATTATATAAATTTAACTAAAATATGTAAAACCGTAAACTTATTGAATATCAATTAATGAATTATTTTGATTACAGAGGAACACAATTTAAAATATTTTATTTTACTACTACATAATATAACTACGTTAATCAAATAAGAAATATGAATTCAAACAATTATTTAATCTACAATAATCATTCATTTATTTACCCTGTGCGTATAATGTAGATAAAAGTTTTAAAGATTAAAATATACAAAAGCTCTTTTAGTATTCATTAATTGTAATTTGCCAAAAGCTCACCTCTGGGCCATAAAATCATCAAAAATCTTACATTATTATTATTAATATTATTTCTATCTCGTCATAAGTAACGTGGAATTGAAATAACTCGCATGTATATATATATATTTGTTGATTTTTATTAAAATAATATATTATAATGTATAAGTGTTAATTATAATTATTTTATTGTTACACAAAATAATGAAGCAAATTTTGGTTTTTTACACATCAATTAAAATTGTATCGCCATGCTTTTTTTCCAGCACGAATCACTCAAGAAAAAACAAATACGAAAGATTGAAAACTGTGAGTTCCGTTTAACACGTGTATACTACCTACCCATTGTGATCGTAGGGGGGTATAACCTGCATGACAAGTGCATAGTGGGGTGTTTCCCTGTTGCACTTGTAATTCATATTTTGTCTGCACCTGTCGCTGAGGTCGCTTTGAGCGAAATATGGCAAAAATCACGTTAAATATTTAATAATATTTAAAATGAATAGAGAGTAACATCATCAAATAATGAAATACTTTTTTTTTCTTATGTTACTTCTTTACAACAGATTTATAAATTTTATTATTGAAAATATCATATAAGAAGTTCCTTGAATATTTGTTCGTGAATAGCTTTTTTTTCAAAAATAATATTTTCTTAATTACAGTTTAGTGCTAGATAATATTTTAAAAAATAGATTAAATTAGAAATAAGAATCGCAAACTTATTTGTAAGCTTCTATTTCTTTAAAAAAAATTATAAATTCGATGATTTAGCCTGTTAACTGTTTAAGTCGCATATACATATTTGTTATTTTTAAAAGTCAATTATTTTTTTACAGCACACACACATCATGTATATAGATGAGATACAAAAAAATAATCTTCAAAAATACGCATATATATATGCGACATCACAATTAACAGATTAAGAAATTTTAGGTTGTATATTGCAATTAATACGGTTAGTGGGTAAACATTCTTGGTAATCCTGATTGAGACAGGTCTATTTCAGGGATGCAACCCTGCCCACGTGAGCCTTGATTCTCTCCTATCTTCCAAAATTAGGAGAAATCATGTCCTAACCTACAATCCTATCAATAATACATCAAATCTCTCCCACACTACTTACTATCTACCAACTCGCTAACACTCTTAGCAAATGTTCCATTTTAATGCCAATTTTTAAATTGAAAAACATTTGAGGAGGCTAGTCATAAAATAATTGCAATTAATATAATACTAAAAATAAAAATAATAATAATAATAATAAAGGTCCTTCCTCAAACAAGAATAATAAACTACCCTGAAACTTAATACATTTCATTTTCAAAGAAAGACGACCATCTATGAATAAGGCTCGAATATAATAGTAATAATAGTAACAATAATAAAATACATGAATTGTATACAGTAATGTCGTAAATATATTAGAAGGGATACTTCTGAATGTGCAGGGATCATCGATATATAAAATTTCAATAATTTTGGAAAAATTATAGTTTCAGATTTTTATTACTTCAATAGCTCTTAAATTTATCATTTATTCGTGATGTATGCTAATAATTTAATTACGAGTTTGTAAGTTGCATTCTATTTCTTCTCTCTCTCTCTTTCGTTCTTTCTTTTTTTTTTCTATCTATAACAAAGTACGGAAAAATGTTGTTCTTGTTTTAATTAGTCTGTTATTACTTGTTAGTTTGTAGTGATGTTTGTAATAAACTTAAAAAATTAAATGCTTATTATAATTATATTTTTGCTAAATATTGTAATATTCGTTATTAAATTGTTTCTTTTATTTTATTTTATATGATCGTGAAGTTTGTGAGATCCTCATCTCATTATTTGCACAAATGAGTATGGGAACACTTCAAATAAAAGTTCTTGTGCCTTGCTCTATTTTATTATTAATAATGAATAAGTAAGTCATTTTCGTCTCACATGTTCGCCGATTATAAATCATTTACAGACAAATATATAATTATTATTTTTATAGTTATTTCGATTATAATTCATATTTATAATCCGAAGTGAATGTCTTCATAGCAACGTTTCATATGTCATTTTATCGCATAATATTATTGTTGATATCTACTACGTAATATTTATTTATATATATATATATATATATATATATTTTCGTGCTATTATATTATAATCGCTATTATGTATATGAAATTACAGCAATAATCGTTTTTTTCTCTCNATATAAATATAAATTTATATTCTTTATATATCAGTTAATAATAATTATAATAGATCAAGTGAACGTACATTATGCTTTTTAATACCAATAATCCTGTACATAAGTTTATTCACCTTCGACAATAATTTTCAATTTTTCCACGAACTTTCACTCAATCAACAGTTTCGATTCTGTAATTCTTCGAATTTAAAAGAAAAAAAGCAAAAGTTTATTTATAAAGACAAATGCACTCCTCACCGATACAAGTCATATTCATAAATTAGCAATTAATGCTTCAATTATCTCTGTAAAAGGCGTTATAATGCAATCAACATGAATTAGTATATTACACGGCACTGCTTATGACGCGTCACCATTTAGGCAAAATTATAATATTGAATAATACCAATGCAATCAGTATAGTTCCTTCAGTTCGCATAGGCAGAATGTAATTCATTGATAATTGTTAGACAATGTTAAACACTTCTTTTCATATTATTTTAATCCTTTCAATAATTGTCTCTTCCTCTCGTACCTCTTGATTGATCACTATCACGTACTCTTCCACGATTGTTATATCCATTTCTTCCCATATTATTGTCATTAGGTCCACGATTAATTCCACGATTAGGTCCACTTTTGTTACAACCGAAATTACCGAAATTAGAATTAAAATGGTTTGGAGGATTTTGACCACCAACATTTTGTCCACGAAAATTTGGGCCGAAACCAGGACGATCGAAGTTGGGTGGTCCGGAATTAGGTACACGAAAGTTTGGTGGTGTTCCTTGGAAATTACTGTTGAAAGGTGGTCCTTGATTTGGACCAAACGGTGGCATAGGATTTGGCCTGAAATGTTGGTTTGGTCCAAAATTCCCATTGGGAGGTCTAAAATTGGGACCGAAACCTCCCGGTGGCGGTGGTCCATTAGGACCAAAAGCAGGATGCATACCAGGATGATGCATCATGTGTGGTGGGATTGGTCCATCCATTCCTTGAGGAGGCATTTTATTTTGCATACCAGGATGCTGAGGCATGTTTGGATGTTGAACAAGATTTGGTATTGGTAGTGGCATGTTAGGATTAATATTTTGCATGTTATGATGGTTTGGTAAATGGGACATATTATTTCCTATATGAGACAAATTACTACCCATTCCAGGTCCAATATTTAATTGAATATTATCCCGTTTATCAAAATTACTGTTCGAAAAGTTACTGTCTGTTTTTCTAGAGCCACTACCCATTATCTTGTCATCTTCCCATCGAGATCCATCTCGTTCTTTATCGTCATACAAATCGTTTTCAGATGATTTTTTTAACATAAATCCCGGTGAATTCATACTCCTAAAATCTTTGTCTCCATAATTGCTTCTTATATCGTATTCCGATCGAGATCCTGGTCTACCAGGTCCACTGGATGTGTTATATCTTAAATCTTCATCACCCGTTCGTTGCATACTTCTTGAATCTCTTCTTAAATCTTCGTCTTGACCTTGGAAGGAACCATTATCATTGGATTTACCAGAACTGTATCTAGTGTCTCCATCACTTGATTGTACATCTTCTGTAATTACACCACCAAATACTGGTTGATGAATTTTCGATGTTCGATCACTAGCTCCTCCATCACTCCAACCAATCAATTGGTCAAACTTTCGCTTTCCGCCACGATTTAAAGTTTTAAGTAATTCTGGATTTTGTGCAAACTTCGAACTAGGTAAGGGTGGAGGTAGATCAATATCGGGAACTTTAGAATAGTCTATTTCTCCTTCGTCTTGTAAATAATCTTCTGTCTCGTCGACGCTATTTAATGGACCCACGACGTCTCTCAATTCATCTATTTCACCGGAAAATACTAATTTATTTATAGCTTCGTTTCCTTTACCAATTGCTTCCGATAATTTTGATCCCGCTGTAACAAATAAAAATTCATATTTAAATATTAATATTAGTTCAATTAAAAATAGCCATAAGATACAGCAAAATTGATCTGAGATAATATTTTTACCTTCAACAGTTATCATTTTGCCATATAATATAATAGCAGTAGGAGTAAGTTCGCTTAACGGTACAGCTCCTGGCGTTGTTTCGATTAATTGATTTACAAAAGCATTCAAGGCTTCTACTTGCTCCATATCTTCTGCCTCCATTTCATTCCATTGGGCCTGGAAATTTCTAGGTATTGGCTTACTATATGGGACCTTTTTATTGGTAAATTTCTTCCCTTCGTCCACTGCATGATCTAAATCTAATCCAGGAATTTCTCCACTTTTATCTTCTAATTCACCATCAGCATTAATTCTATCTTCTGGTCCCATACCAGGTATTACCGCTGCTTCATCGGCTGTAAAAAATAATAGAAAACTTATAATATCATTTGCTTATAAAATAATCTACATTTATTTATTTATGTCCTATATTTAATTATAGTATGTGAAATCGTAGTATACGAAATCACGTTTATCATGTAAATTATAAACTTGCCTATTTCATGATCATCAACTCCTGCTGTTCCAGCGGGTAATGTATTAAGATTATATTTGTCTCTCATAAGATCACCAGGTCTATTGCGTGTCCAAAATTTAGAAGTATGATCATTACTTCCAGAGCATAGAATGTGTCCCAATGGATGCCATGCCAATGTCCATACTATACTATCATGAGCTTGTTCTATTGCACCAACTTCTTTGTCAGCTCTAATGTTAAATAAAAAAATAACACGTATTAAAAAAAAAGAAATATCATAAATATATATATGAAAAATAGATAATTCCGAATATGTTTACATACCCGACATGCCAAAAGAGTATTGCACCATCGCTACCGCCACTGCAAAAAAGTCCTTCATGACTTGGATGCCATGCAACACTAGATGCTTCTTTTTTATGACCACGAAAAGTTTGGACTTCTTGATTGAGGTTTCTGAGATCAAATAATTTAAGCAAATGATCTCGCGATGCAGTCACTAGCCAATTACCATTCTCATTCCACTTAATATCCATTACGGTTGATTTATGTGCATGTAGAGTAGCAAGTGATTGTCCACTTTTTGGATCCCAAAGCTTTACAGGTTGCTGATTATCTTTGCTTCCTGAGATGACTAGACTTTTTTGTGGGTGCCAATGTACACATTTAACATCTGCACCATGACCTGTAGAGAAAAATATCGTGAATTATTACTGTTATTAAGAACAAAAGATGATTTACTTTTAACGCTATTTTTACTGAACAAAAAATGACTCGCATTGTATTAACATTATAATATCTAAAATAATTATAATTTCAAATATAAATAATATCGCTTTTATATGAAATTATTTCAAATTAATTTAAGAAAAACAAGATGTTTTAAAAAATATATTAAAATTATACCCCTGAGAATTCGTTCTTCATGGCAGCGTAGGAAGTCCCAAATCCTGACCGTACCATCATCACTACAAGTTGCCAGTTTATGGTCCGTTGGACTGAAACTACCCACCCAAAACACAAAAATTACAAATGGACAATGAATTACCAAGCATATAAAATACTAGTTGTTTTTTATTTGTTAAATAATATATTATTATTATTATTATTCTGAATATTTCTTCTTTTAATATATATATGTATATCATTGTAAAACTAAATTCACATATCATACAAATTGTAATGGAAAAAAATATCAATTATAATTTTTAAAAGGTAATACAATAATTATCAAAAAATTTGTATTTGTATAAAATTTCATATTTGCAGTTTATTTACACGTATTTAAAAGAAGAAGGAAAAGGAGTAAAATTTCAGAGAAATATCTTACGACTTTCATTAGCAGTCATCAAAAATAATAGAAAACAAATTGTATTATTAATTTCTTCATTGAATCCATGTTTTACATGCATACTCTTCTCATAGATGAAATAAATAAGATAAGTAGTACTATGAATTATAATTTTTATTGTTTTCACTGTAGAGAGAAAACATCAATTATATATATGTATATATTTCTACACATGCACATGAAATCTACATTTAAATATTTTATTTTCTTGTATGAGACATCTTTGCAAATAATTGATAACTTAAAATAATTGAATCTGATCACGAATATAGGCGTATATATAAAACTTCTCGAAGCTAAAATGAATTGAATCTTTTAGATATATATTTTGATTTGGCTATGAGAATTTAGCATTTGAAAGTAAATTTTACGGATAAGTTTTTCAAACGATATGGGCAAGAATGTACTTCCTAGCAATAATAAAATCTACGTATTTTAAATATTTTTTTTTATTTTTTTATTTTTTTATTTTTAAGCTCTTGTTTCTATAGATATGGCAGTTGCTTAAAGTTTAGTCAAATTTTCATTTTCTACTACAAACGTACTTTAAGGAACAGACAGACATCATCGATAAACAGAATATTTAATGTATGTAATAAATATTGTAAATAAACAAAAAGCCATCTCCAACAGTCATATCTGGCATTCAAGCGAAGATCTACCACCAAGAAAAGTGGTTAGATCGTTTTAATCCTGTAAAAAGAAATAATTCAACTCTTATGCCACATGACTGCCGGGCGATAGATTCAATTTGATATTGTTTTAAAATTTAACATTTATTGTACAAAAAAAATATCTGATATGTACATCAATTGCATTATATCTCTCTGTTACTCCCTCTCTCTCTCTCTCTCTGTCCCCCTCTCCCAAATTCGTACATACACACTAATGCAATTATACACTCACACACACCTTTGCAAAAGGGCACAAGTGACATAAATGAAAGAAAAGATACTTTATTAACAGAGCCATGCATTACTGCAATATCTTTGTTCAATTTGTTTTTTATCGCAACTTGGATGATGTAAAGGACAGAGGATCTTTATTTTTATTATTATTCAATGGGAATCTCAGCTAGGTACTATGGTTCATATATATATTTATATATTTGTCTTTCTTTTTATTTATAAATGTAAAATATACATCTTTGCCCAATAATAACCTAGCTATATAACTCCTTAAATCGAAAAAACGTGAAGAACTAATATGTCGTGACTGTATGTCGTACCTGCACCACATCTAATTGATATTATATCAGACATTGAAGATTTTATTAATGTTTTTTGTTTGGGGGTGGGGGAAGGAGATGATCCTAACAGCCTAATACCATAAATCTTCAAAAAACAATGTATTTTTTGTAAATAAAGTTGACAATTTTTACTAAAAACATCATGCTCACAAAAATTACAATTGAAAAGTAACGAAATGAATATAATAAAGAATATTATATTAAACATCTCGTATTTATTCGTATTGCAAAATAATTCTTTTATTAAGGAACAATTTATTCAAAAATAAATCTGATAGCATGATTGACTTGTTTTGTCTCATTAGATTTATTCTAATATAAAGACAAAAATGTTGGATAATTAACTTTGAAAATTTCCCATTGAAAGATTTGTTAAAATATTCACCTATGTACCCATATAATAATTATTATTACTATTTGTTTATAAATGATATAAAACAAGAAGGAGAAGAGAATGATAGTCACAGTCAATAATATCCTACCTACTGCAAAGATGAATGAATTGATAACAGTGGCGCAAGAGACATAAGGACTAATGAGGTGGATGCTATACCTGAGTCCTCTAATTGCTTCTTTGTGTGCTTGAAACATCTTGACATTGTTCATGTTGCTCTGCCAATATTTAACATAACCCGCATGATCTCCTGTCACCATCCAGCTCTCGTTGTGCGACCATACCATTGTTCTTACAGGACTGTCGTGTGCCTGAACAAACACGTAAAAATTTGTATAGTAAACATTTAATCCCAGTATGCATATAAGATATGCAAAAAATTGACTATTTGTTTAATCATAAATATTAGAGTACGAATTAACAAATTCATAAATTTCTTCATCTTCAAAAATCTAGTAAAATATTGTGCATATTTAATATATGCAATTCATTATAGAAATAAAATTTTAATTTCATTACTTATAGCATACCTGAAGAATAGTTTCAAAATTAAACGTAAGACCATTCCACAAAGTAAATTCGCCGCTAGATGCTCCGGTAACTAAACGTCTACCTTCCGGTGTCCATGCCATACAAAATATTGGACAACGCATTTTATTAGTAGCAGTCTTTACAAATCTTGTAGTGACAGCATTAATTGGATTGTCGACATAACTTGGAGGTGGAAGAAGATCGGGATAATATATGACATCTGGTTGAAGAGCACGTCTATCCCTGTAATCTCTTTGCCATACACGGTTCTATACATAAAAAAAATGTATAATTGTATTTTACATATGTAATAATTAATCAATTCAATACATATAGTAATTTTGTAAAAATTAGCAATTATTATCATGTTTTGTTAAAATTATTCCGAATTACCTCTAAACTTTTAATTATAGCTGAATTATAATCAACCGTCTTTCGCATAACAGATTTTCTAAGTCTTTTTCCATCAAATTCATCTTGTAAAGTATCCTGACCACCCGCTACTACTTTAGGGGCATGATATGGTCTGAATGGTTTAAAAAAACCGCGATTTGCCTCTCTATGATTGGTATATCGATGTTGATAACTTCCAGAGGTATTTATGGTTGTTAAATTAGGAGGTGGTGCTGATAAATTTGGAGCAGATGGTGGTGGTACTGACATGTTAGGCAAACTTATTGCCGGTGAAAGATTCGAGAACTGAGTATTGGTTGACATTTTCCAAATAGTTTATTTACAGCTTACTCTATAATAACATTAAATATCCTAATAGGATGATTCGTGAATAAAATAAAAGATGAACATTTTTAAAAGCAGCTGTTTAAAATTCGCATGTCAACAAATCCATATCCTCAATTAATTCTGAAATGAAAAATCAATTAAACCTATTATAATATGGAAATATCAACATTTATAAGTAATTGATTTTATTTAAATAATATTCATTACATGCATGAGAAAATTATTATTTTTGCAATAATATTAAACTGCACAACAATGAAACATGAATAATTCAAAGATAATATCTAAATAATAGAGAATTTATAATTTGTTCAATACATAAAATAGAATAAATTAAAAAATATATAATATATAAGACAATTCATAAATTAATTATGTTAATTTAAACGAACATGTGTTCCTCCGATTTAGATACTTAAACAAAACTTTTAACTTTCTATCTTAATGTTAGTTGAAATATAAGTTGAAGGTTAGATTATAAACTCTGTTACAAAATTACTCCGTTGCTCGTTAATCTATTATTATTATTCTTGATAAAAATAATAAATTGTCTTGAATATGAGAAATAATAGTAGCCAAACAACCTGCTATTTTCTTCGTGATGTAATTTTTTCAGGCTGTATATCACCATACGCTCATGGAGCAATTAATTCCTTTTCGCAATTTGAAAATATATATGTGAATATATATTTATATATGTATATATATATATATATNTATATATATATATATATATTTATTTTAACGTTGAACACTTTAAATAAAAAAGAGAAAAAAATTATGTTGAAAAATATGACATCTGCATTAGATTCTAACTCGAACACGTCGAATGAACCACAATGGATTACCAGAAGTTAAATTCTATCTTCTCGCCACGGACGCTACTACAGTTTTCGGGCAACGACATCCGCTATACTTCCTCGAATACATATTTCCAGATCGTATCTCTCAAATCAAATTTATTTTTATGTATTATTTGCATTAACCAATAATGATCACTACATTTTGCAACTTCCCAAGGGTTCTTCAAATCCATTGGCCGATTGAATTTTGTTATTTACATTGACGAATAAGAATGTATTATAGTGAAAGTGTCCCTAAATCTTTTACTATAGCTTCGCGTTGATTGGAAATTTAGTTATACTGTGAAAAAAGCACTTAATCGTTAAATTTCTACAAAAAATGAACTTACATATATATATATATGTTCATATATATGTAAAAATATATAAAACGTCTCGTATATGCAGTATCCAAATGTGGTTATTTATAATTTTGTATTGAGATTTCTTTATGTCATCACAATATACGTATGTAAAATAAAAAATTATAAAATTGTGTAGTTAAAGATTATTGTCTTCAATTTTAAGAAAAATAATTTATATTGAATCATAATAGTGTTAATTATAAATTTGTAGATTATCATTTATACAACGCCAATTCATATCGATTTATATCGATTATCCTAATGGATAAATATGTAATATATATAAGTGAGATTAATATAAGACTCGTGCGAATATAAAATTGTTAACACTTTTAACAAGAAGAAAGATAAAAACAAATAAAAAAAAAGTTGTGTAATTAAATAAACGTAAAACCAAAAGGTAATCATTCATATAAAAAATTTTAATATCTTAGAATAGATTTCTCTAGAAATATTGAAATATTATTGTTATATATTTAAAATTCGAGTTTTCTCCAAACGTATAGATATATATCGTTGAACAAGTTACAACAGATTTATTTATGCGAAAAAAAGATATCTTAGCATAGATTCACGTTCTAAATTTGTAATAGTTTATTATGATGCAATTTGATTTTAGCCAATCAGAGAAGATCCATATAAGCTTTTTATTTCTGCCGTAATTTTGAAGCAGTGGCAGCACTATCATTGTTACATCAGGTAAGGACATGCTAATGGTTAATGGCTTCTGCTTATTCGAGCTACATTTATGATAAAACCAAATATAATCCAAACTGAAATACATGAGATATGATGCATCGGATATTAAAGTCATAAGAACATGATTGTCTAAACATTAAATTGTTGCGATAGATATATTCTTATAATATTAAACTTGTGGGCCTACGTAATATGTGGTAAAACTTTAACTGAATCAACGAATGTAACCGTTATATTCATCGCTACGTTGGATCAGTCCGATGAAAAGGATCTCAACATACAGCACGATATCACAAGATTTATATCACACGTGAGTATATATTATCAATCGATGTGTGTTATCTGTGCATTATTCATTGTTGAAAATTATGTCTTAAGAATTTTCTTTCCTGATCGTGAAAATCGGGCAACTCCCTTGTGCCACTCAGTTCTTCGCAATGGCGGCTGTACTTCGTCGATTGAAAAATTCCGTGTTCTTGATGTAACTGTTGAAAACTGGATATACTAGTGTAATGAGTTACAATATGTTTTACAACTAATTCAATGACTCTTGTATAATATTAAAACGTCATTAATAAGTCGATGGATTCGATCTATGGATATCTTCTTCCGCAATATCATGATGTCGAAGTGCACTGCGCGCGCGTGCACCTGTGTGTTTATAGCTCTCATACATTCGCGTGTATATAACGTGTAAGTGCTTCTTTATACGTGACTATCGACTTAGAAATAAAATAAAAAAAGAAAAAAGGGGGAAGAAAGTATGTAGTATAAATTTAAAGATAACTTTTCTCTTCGATCTTTCATAGAACAAAAATATCTATTTTTTAATCATTTATATTTAATAAATAATAATTGATTAAGTAATTTATATTTTTGGATTTGAGTAATGTTCAAGAGTAAATATTTGTTTCATTCAACAATTTTATCTTGTACAAAATTAAATACACGTATTCAAAATTAGTATTAAACAATGTTAATGATATATGTATATTCATCGAACAAAACATATTTCTCAAACATTATATTTGTTCGAAAGAAAAAATTGGAGAAAGTATATGTTTAATGTTACGGTAACAAAATTCTGTATGATCTTTATGAAATATCTTTAAATATCTATCTTCTACCTTTATCTGTTTTCATTATTAGATATATAGTTTATAAATAATAATATTTTATTTTAAGCTTATTAATACATAATATATTTTTACTAATTAATTAATTGATAAATAAGTTTCATCTGCATAGAGAAAATTAACAATGTTAGGTTACTTCTGAAGTAAGGATATTTTTGATTTTAGAAGGTGACATGCCTAGCAGTCGTGACATCGAAAGAGGTGAACGTAATGGGAGATTTAGATCGCGGAGGAGAAGTAGTGCAGGCAGTGATGTAAATCGTCATAGTTTTGAGAGCTCTGATAAAAGCAGACACAGACGGCATGGGAAGAGTAAAAGTTCTGGTAAAAAAAAGAAGAAAAGGTCACGTGACAAATCTTTAGAAAGCGTACCAACTGTAGCCTCCTCTATCGTCAAACCATTGGTTGAATATTCCGATGTAAGTAGCGAAGATCTATCTGAACCAGAAGCAGGAGAAATTCAGTCAGAGGATAGCAGAGGTAATAGTTATACGGACGGAGATGTACCTGAAACTGTTCTGCAAAGGACGTATTACAGAAATAGTCCTCAAAGAACTCTTGGAGCATCACCGATTAGTCTTTCACCTTCTCCTCCAGTACAGCACAGACATTCTAACAGACATTACTCGTCAAACGAGCAACAACCTGCAACAAGTATGCACAGTGGTACGCCAGAATACGAGGAAGAATCTAGACGTTATCCTAGAAGAAAAGAGAAGAAACATAAACGAGAGAAAAAAAAGAAAAGAAGTTTAAGTCCATCATCTAGTATAGGTAAAAAGAAGAAGAGAAAATCTAAACGATGTTCTCGTAGCCTTAGTCCACATCATATAACTGAAGAAGTTATAATCAGTCCAGATCATGAAAAACCAGTTGAAAATTGGTCAGAATCCCCTCCTTTACCTTTGAAGGATAGTACTTCTCCTATATCGCCTGCTACTCCTCAAGAACAAAGATGTCTCAGTGACGTAGAACTTGAGTTGATAAGGCAACCTAGGAACGTTACACCACCTCCTCATTCACCCGTTCGACAAACAGAGTCACCGCATACTCCATTATTACCACCTAGGGCAACAACGCCAATAGGTAACAAAACAAGCACATCTACAAGAAAACACAGTCCAGAGAGACTGAAACATAGTCCCAATATACATACAAGACATAGTCCCGCTAGTCCCAATGCAACAACTAGTTCAACTCGTAGGCGACCTCATAGTCCTAGCCCAGCAAGGCGTAGAGATCATAGTCCACCACGAAGAAGAGATTTTAGTCCAATGTTACATAGAACCAGACACAGTCCTAGTCCATCAACATTGAGACGAAGAGAATTTAGTCCCAGTCCTGTAAGTCACAGAAGAAGAGGTGATCCTTCTACATCTCCTTCTTCGAGTAAACGCAGAAGAAAGGAAGTAGGATCTGATCGAAGGTATAGACATCATGAAAAAGATAGGAGGGATAAAAGAAAATCAAGATCAATTAGAAGTCCTACCAGCAGCAGGTAATAATAATTACTTTCTATATTTATAATTATAGATATAATAATGAATTCATCACATTTTATTTATTAAGGTTGCCTATGCCACTTTCACGATCACGATCTCGTAGTCCTGGGCGATGGACTAGAAAAATGCAATCACGTTCAAGATCACGTTCACGAAGAAGAAGTCGAAGTCCTAAAAAATCACGTTCACCTAGTAAATCACACAAATCGTCGAGAAAGCATAAATCAAAAAGCCCGCGTCCCTCGAGGATTCCTTCTCCGTCTCCGCATAGGTCAAGAGCTAGAAGCCCAACAAGTATTACTGCAAGAAATCTTCGGATGCAAGCTAAAATAAATGAAACTAGTTTGTTTGCTGAACTTGTCAAGGATAGAAATATGAGAGAATTGGCATATAAAAAGTTACAAGCGGCGAAGGAGAAAGCTATCAATCAAGACGAGGTTCAAATAATAGAAGGCACAGACGAGAAAGATTCAAGTACCGGAGCGACCGAAAATAAGGCTAACTTTGATAACAAAAGCAAACCTATAAGTCATAAAGAACCATTGAAATCATCAAACGAAACTATGAAATCTCTTGATGTTGTTAACATTCCAGTTCCGGTCACAGAAGATATTAATATAGCAGGGAGAACTCCACCTTTACCGATGCATTCGACACATAGTGCATCTTCCAATGTTATACCAAGGACAAGTGCACCATCTCATACCGTCGTGCGTACATCACCAACAATATCCGTACCCAACAATTGTCATGCTACTATTGCAAATAGTCCGAGCATTCCAGCTAACATGAGTGCACAGCCTCCGCCACTGCCTCAACCTGAAACTAGAAATACATCAGGCTTGTCACATGTACCTGTACCAGTGCCTATTCCTGTACCAGTACTACCAACAGTTCTTGCAAATTTATCAGTTCCTCCGCCACCTATTCCTATTCCAGTTCCAGCACCAAATACTGTTATCTCCAAATTTAATTTACCAAATAACCTAGTTCCTTTGAAATCAGTGGATCCGCCAAAGCCACCTATTGTAGCATTTAAGACTAAGAGTTTATCAAAATTACCATTACCACCTGGTATTAATCAGAACGATTTGGAGAGTATAGATTCACCTCCTAGTCATTCGCCAAGTCCGCCAAGTAAAGCACAAATGAAATTCCCATCTTCGACTCCCAAACCACCGCAGAAAAAGAGCATTAAAGATTTGCCTATGCCACCAGGTTAGTATTATTTGTCTTTATTTCATATATGTTAAATAAAATCTATTGAATGATAAATATATAATAATAGTACAATAAATTACAATTATATTTCTAGTCGTTCCTGGGTCTGAAGATTTGAGTGGAGAAGAAGATCCAAATGCGACGCCACCGCAACACGTAGTTGAACGTATCACTC